ATTCCCAAAGACTTGAATCTTTTTCAATTACTTGCGAACGTTCAAGTCACCGGGGGTCAGCCGCAGTTGTGCTGATAGATAAATCACGATTTACTTATCACGGGTCAGCTACATTTCTAACAGCTTGATAAAAGACAAAAGAGGTCAAATAAATGAAAGACTTTTAATATGGTTTAGGTAATTCTGATTTGAATTGATAAATTAATCATCACTTGAAAAAAGTAACTGAATACCATGCGGAGATCTCTATCGAAAGATATTTGCGCGAGGGTGATACAATTTTAGTTGTAATCGGATTGTTGGGTCGCAATGGAGGGGAAACTAGCTTCAGACTGCATCACGCTTTTACGAAAGCACGAAGGACTCTCGATCTGTCTTTTTCAGTCTTCTATAATCTCTCAGTTCAAACTTATATTTCCTAAAAGATTGAAAGCTCAAAACAGAAAGTTTTTGACACTTATTCGCCGGGATTACCAATCTTAAGAATCAAATAGCGACGCGTAAACAATCGAGCTCATCGCCTGATGAAGAAGAGCAGTATTGCAGTCGAAACTGGTCGCGATCTACGTCAAAAGTGACTCTATCGTGAGACAAACGAACAAAGTTCATCTTCCACAAGAATCAAGTTTGTAACTCGAGCTTTTCTTTATACATTGAGAAAGCGCAAACTTTGATCTCCATGCTTCATTATTAGCAGACAAAGACTGGATCATGTGTTTGCTTTCTAGATACATCTAGGGGATCTTTACGCATAAGGAATTTAGGTAAGCAAGCAATTCTTATGGCAGACGAAGCTTTCAAAATGGCTTAACTAATTCTGATGTGACAAAAGCTCCCACAAAATTCATTTAACATTATGAAATATAGCTGAGGAGGAGGTATCGTGGATTAATCACGACTTGCAAAAAGTAAACAAAACTGGTCAGTTGTCCCAAGAAGATCTTTGTTAAAAGATATTTGCAAAGATTCCTCCAAGCGTGAGTCATGATAGTGAACTTCACAGAGTTGATCAAATGAAGCTTAATACGTATAGTTGTTGATAGTCATTTACTGGGAAGCACAATCGTGCGGATCAAGTTTGTTTGGGGAATTCATACACAAAAAATAAATTGCCTAGAGCCAACTGAAAATAACACCAGAGGCACGTACACATTTCAATTTTTTCTGCCGGCTGTGGCACCTGGCTTCAGTGAGTGACCGTCCCTTCAGCATAAACTTCCTTTGTAGGCGAGACAGGAACTAACGAAAAGTTTCAGCTTGTTTCAGCTTCAACAATCTTCGCAGCAAATTCCGCTGTCTCTTGCACAAGATCTCGGCTTTTCTCAGCACATGGAGAAAGCAACCACTTTTATCTCCTTGCTTCTTTGTAAAAGCAGAAAGGCTGAATTCCTGAAAGCTTTTATTTTTAATCTAAAATGACCTTTTAGACATTCTATAACACTTAGGTGTGATTGCGGTTGGCAGTTTTTCCGTGTTTGCATTCTAAAACCCCGGAAAAAGGCGTAAAAAAGCCCCATTCAGGGAGGTTTTCCTCGTAAAGAATTTGGCTAAACAAGCTATTTTTTTTTTGACAAGAATGGCTGGAGCAGTTATCTGAAGAAGCATCTATCACACGGTTTTACTGGTTAACTGATAGAGCGCCCTCTTTATATTACAACTGATGACAGTTAACATACAGTATACATCGTCGAGATCAAGTTTAACGGAAAGTTTCACTACAACCCACAAGAGAACTTGACTAACTTCCGTAAGAGGTCGTATTCATTGGTTGCGGCATAGTTACTGACCTGAATATAGTTTTTCCTTTCTTGTGAAGTTATAAGTCTTATCTGTTGCGAAAGATTTCCTTATCAGAAATCCGAAGGAAGTTAGAGTACCCTATAACGTAAATATTGTATCCTATGGTACCATAGTTCTGTCATGGCTAGTTTCCTGTCTTTCCCGCATCACGGAATCGGTAAAGCTTAGCATCAAACGATATCGCCTCATATTGTTTATGATTTTACGATGAACTTCTCCAAATCGTATTTTCTAATAAAAACTGCATCGTCTTGTACTGAGAATCACGGCCAAACCATAAAACACTTCTTCTCTTTTCACTGCTTAATTAAGAGGCACGTTGGAGTAATTTTCGTTGCCAAATTCATTTCATTTAGACAAAATAAATGTTGAGCTCTTATGACATAATTATAAAGCTTAGAAGAGGAATTTAATAAGTACTCAGGATTTGTTTTCAGTTACACCAATGATGGATCATTAACAATCTCGGTTTTTAGAGACCAAAGTCTCAGCGATACTGGAACACCTAGAATGTTTCCGTCAGGTACCCCATCAAAAGCAATGGTAAACAGGCCAATGGCACGAAATTGGAAAGACATTTTAACATTAAATAACTAATTTTAGAATATGACTCAACCTCACAGCAAAAACGTTCACAGAAACTGTTGAAAATTCAAGACGCAGGACAAAAGAAAAGTATGGATGATATTCCCAAAGTACTGTTTTGAGCTCCGAATCAGAATTTGTCACTTGCTATATATAACTGATAAATGGAGCTCACTACTAAAGGGATGAACTAAATTGCAAAAACTGCCGTGACTTTAACCTCTTTCAAGTAACAATATCCTCCGCATCAAAGGGTGGTCAGTGACGTCCTTTGTAAAGTCGTAAAAGCATGCTTCGGGCATTTCAAACGGTAAAAAAAACAACTTTTGAGGACGCTGCAATATCGTTCTCGGTCTCAATCGTTCGTATATCAAGATTATGAAGAACAAGCTTTTTATAACAGTACTTTCACAGACTTGAAAACAAATAACAAAGCTTGTTTCTATGTGTAATGTCTCAATCATACCACGAAAGCATGTTTAGTTAATCAGGGTTAAGGGGAATAAAAAGGAGCAACAGAAAGTTTAGCTAAAACCTGAAGTTTACTTTTTGTTCAATTACTTACTTATTTCAATTCTCAGTGTGCAAAATTTGAAGTGGACCACACCAGTTTTAAACCGTGATTCACAAAACAGCTTTAAAACGATTTTATCGTAGGAGTGAATGGGGTGTAAGTTGCTACAAAACGGATTCCCACAGTTAACAACAGGTATGCATGTTGTTTGACGCAGGGTCTAAAAAAAGGCTCACAACGAAAAACTTAAATTTTATCTAAACGAGAATCAAAAGAGCTGGTGATACACGAGGCCATTTCATACTCTGGTCGCGGCAGTCGGCGAAAATCTCCTGTAACCAGTTGTTTAAAGAATGGATAACGCTCTCCAACGGATAAATCGCTATCCAGCGGATAGGTGTTAGCAAAACCTTTTGCGTTATCATCCAGTGGATAGCGTTATCCACCCTCTAAACAACCGATGATCAGAACAGCGATAGTGATTTTCGCCACTTCCGCCCGCCGCGGTCGGCGTTTTAATTCTCATTGTATGACTCGTCAGATATCGATGTTAAATTCGCCGGCTATTATTTTTTTCTTCGCTCATCGCTGTGAATCACCCGTAAAGGTTGAGCACGTTTATCGCATAAGAGAGAGTTTAAGATCCACGTTTGTTTCTTATAGTGTGTAACCGCAAACCGCTAGAAGTCACGTGACCAGACTGTAGCCGTCAAGTTTGCCGTTCGCGGTCCAGTCAGTTTCAGGTAGACCAACTCCCTTGGCCCTTTTCTTGTTCCGGTTCGAAAGTTCTCGCGTATGTTCTATAAATATATGTGATTTGAGGTATTTTCTTTTTAGCCCATTTGTTTGGGACGTAGAAAAGCAAACTTTAGGCCGCATTCTGTGTTCGAAATGAAGGACTTCCATCCTGTCTGTAATTTAAGATAACGGCGAACAGTTTCATTTTACTTTTGTTTGAAATGGTACTTCCAATTTTGGGATCGGTGAGCATTTTTTTTTCAGGTTTTGTTTATTTGAAATCGGATGAAACCTTAGCATGAAAAACATATCGCTGTTTTTCTCGGTTTTTCTTAGGTATGTCTCCATTTCGTTGGCCGCTTGTGGAACAAGACTTGCGTGAAAATCCGACATCGATCTAAAACGCTGAAAATCTCGAAACTGCTAACTCCTACCCTCAAACCGCTAGCTACGGTTTTAGATTCGCGGTTAACACAAACTGTCAGCCTGCCTTACTCCTTCATGTATGGGGCCCACTGTGCCAACTTCTTTCATCGGGAACAGGATCGCGGGCGCAGAAAAGCACCCGCAGCTTAAAACACAAAGTGTAATATCACAAAATTTACCAATTATAAAAATGTGGCGCAAATGTTCTCTCCATAATGAACAACACTATTTTACTCATTCAACTGCTCTCTTTGTGAGTCTTTATTTATGTCCTGGGTTGGAATCCGAGGGAAGATCGAGGGATTTTAGGGGGATCACATGGTTATCACGGGGATCAGTGCGGTCTTCGCTAACAGAACATAAAGAGGGGGATTATGGGAAATTACGGCAATCAATGAGAGATCATTAAAATATTACACGGCTTCAGTGGGGATCAAGTAAATTTTGTCATGACACAATCAAAATCTTCCGACCTCCTAGCCCCTCCCCCCATCAAAAGAAATTAATTTCCTTTCCCCCAGTAAAAAGTAAACAAACTCAATGACTGCTAAATTGCAATGTAAGATTTTAAATTCGTTTAAAGGGCAAAACAAAATAAAACGATCTCAGATTTAAGACATAATTATAATTATGGGCATCCCAGAAGACATGTCAGGAGCCCAATGGGCTCCTGGACATGTAGAATAAATAGGTTACTTAAACTAAGAATCTCAGAATCTCAGAAAGAGACTATAGAGGATAAACCATAAGACTGAATAAATAAATACTGATATCCAAATGTAAATCCCTTTGAGGCATCTATTTGCTTTCAAAACAATGATAACAATAACTTCATAATCAGAAATTAAACAATAAAATGCATGAAAAATAGTCGTGTTTGAACGCTATTTTCCACTAATGAAATATAAATTATATTTGAATGCGAATAACTCGATAATTATTTGCGACCGAATATTGAAAATATCCGGCATTCACAGCAGGATCTGATATCTTGTTCATAATCTTCCCACTCCTCCATATAAACATTAATTCCTATTAATTGGCTCAGAGTATCATCTCTCTCGAAGTCTCCAGTAAAGCGAAGAAATGTGAACTGTATGTAACGCTGCACACATCTTCCAATGGCTCGAAAACACAAATGGTCGGAATCGTCACAAATGACTTCGTTGATAAAGGGCGGAAACACTTTTGATGGAAGTCTTGTGGTTGCGGCACACTCTGTACAGAGGCGTCTTAAGTTAGTGTTATCCACGGTTGAGCCTCGACCCCAGCAGCCGCGCAGGGTGGAGCCTGGGCTCAAGGATGACATCCGTTTCTGTCTCAACTGGCCTCCTTCCTGATCACCTACTTCTGGCTCATCCAAAATGCGGCTCAAATCATTGTCAGAGGGGTCTTGCTGAATTTGGCGTGGCCGATGATCAGGTTGGGCCTCAGATGGCGTAGCGGGTTGTACAGGAAGCTCGTCTGCAACAGCTAGATCCTGAAATCTGCAAGAATCTGTCTTGTTAATGGCCATGTATCGTGGGTTGAAACCTCCGCCAGTGATACGAAGCTTGCTCATTAACTGGGTTTCATTGAGGCGAACGCATAGCTGATGACTCCGGAGTAACCTTCCACGATATTTAGGAACTGAATCGACGATGCGAGTGCAATCTTTTTCTTGAATTTTAGGCCTTGATGTTATTAAAGGTTTACGTGATGTTCTTGTTCGGCGTTGACGCAAAATTCGAGTCCTCCCACTAGAAGTCGGAAGCGTAGCCAAGACGACAATCATGAGCAAGACTAGTGACATTATCTGTTTAGAAATGCGATAAAATGGAAGAATATTCTATAAGAAAAAATGAATTAACCATCAAAATTGACAAAAATCTGATAGTGACGGATCCTTGTAGATGAACTGCAATCAGACTGAAGAAATTATAGGAAAAGAAATCTTGAAAAATTGTGGCTGAAACAGAGTTCGAATCCGTTGTCTCCCAAACAGTAGTTGGGCCTTTCTGCCAACTCAGCTAAGAAGCCACTGTTATCTAACTTGTGGAGCGTTACTAAATTATAGTTTGTAAAGGATAACAGCAAATAGGTGCGGCCAAAATCTTACCCTATTTGTCTTATATACAGCGAAGCAACTTAGGCTCCATATAAGTAAAATTTTCACCTTCGGTTTCACAGGTATCTCCATGCTTCTCTAGACTGGCTGGTGAACTTCTCCAACACTTGTCTAACCTTAAAGAAAATCAATAATACTGAGTTTAATCTGTCATCTTTACACGTTACCTCTCGTAAGTGGGTTAAATTTAATTGCAAACAAAGAGAAAGACTGATTAAAAAAGCCAGCTGTTTGGCAGCCATAATTAGGGGGAAATGCTATGTCGACTACAATTCTTGGATAACAATTGCCGCCTTGACAGGGTTCGTGTTTATCCAAGGCTTTTTAGCTGACAAGTGAACTTCGATTAATATTTCAACTGAATTTAAACCGTCGGTCTGTGTTTTTTTTCTTAACATCAGTTTTTCGCGGGTTCAGTTCGTGGTATACTAATCTTGCCTGTCATGCTTGTTGACGTTGGTGTTGGCTGATGTATAAATTGGCTTGCGTGGAAATGTTCACAAGTGTTCATTGTTTGATCGGACGGCGCAACTGTTTGTAAACTCTTTAAACAAGTTAGAAACAGTTGGACTCGTGTGACAGATTTTAAGTGGAACCTTCTGTTCTCTCATCTTGAAAAACAAATCACCTATGCAATCAGGAAGGCAACGCCGCGGAGAAAGTCGATTAACAAAGGAATTTTTAATTTTAGTTAGAATTTTGAGAACAGCTGGATGTGTCACCGTCTCTTACGGCACTATATATATCAACTCTGCCATAACGTCAAGTTCCAAGTAACAACTTAAATTATTTACCGCCGTGGTTTTCGTTCTGGGACCACGCAGATTTTGGTGACTTCACGTCAAGTTGTTTTGCAGAGGACGGTTATAAATGTACAGCATTGTGTTAAACCGCTCGTGCTGCGCTATTCTTCTGCCAATTAGATCTTTTGTTTCGTTGTGTCCTCGTTTACCGTCGCCGTCTTGTTTTTGCTGTTGACTCGTGACTTCTGACAAAACATATATATGTCACGCTTCCGTTTGGCCTGTTTTTTAAGCCATCAAACGAAGTTATTATTATTTTTTTTTACTTTTAAGTTGATATTTTCAGGTTTCCGATAGAGAGTCATAACCGCTGTTCAATATTTGACTCAATTAAAAAGGAAAGGAACAAAGTCGAAATTTGAAGATATAGACATTTGCAGTTATTTCTCAATCGGCATCAAACTTTCCTTGAGAAAGTAACAAAGTATAGTGGTAAGCTTTTCATGGAGCGGAATTTCGCCGGCAGAACGCGGAGGAATCCAGAATTTCTTTAAAAAGAGAAGCTTTATATAAACCGTATACAAGTCTTTACAAAAGTGCTCAGATATATCTTAATACTCCGACGTAACACAAACAAAAACTCTCTCGATTAAGAATATCAAATATATAAAAGACATGTTCTACTCTCGTCCTAAGAAGAAAAATTATGATTGACAGTACCAATTATAAACAAATTAATAGCAAATTTATGTTTTTTGAGCAAAACTCAATCAAAGAATCATACATTTTGGATTTAAGTTATGTAAGAGAGTTTTCTTGCTACACCCAAACTTTGCAATCGTCAAAAAATAATTTACTGGGCTTGAAACTTTGTCGCTGCTCGTGTAAGGCCAGCGTAATATATATGCATCAAGGACCAAAACTTATAAAATCAGATGGATATAAAGAACAAGTAAATTTATAACTAAGCATAACTCCCGTGGCATACCTTTTTACAAGCAACTAAGGCCTCAGTCTGTTCAGATCGCTTTTCTATTGTTCAGCTCTGCAGTCGTTCTAATCTTTTGTGAGTATAACGAACTCTTTTTAACCAGTCAAGGCGGAAAAAGCAGAAAGCGATATCTTTGTCTCGAAATATTTTATTCTCCTTTGTGGCTTTATGAAAAAATAATAATAGATTTTAGCCTAATACTTGTTTTGCATAATAATGAAGCTTTATTACTAGCTACCTGTGTACTTCCTGTTACTGCTTTCACCGGCCAAAAGGGCCGACAGAACTCTAGACGTTTACCAAAAAAGGAGAAATAAAAATATAGCTGAGCAGGTTTGGTATTATAATTCGTTTTTTCTTTGTTAATTCTCGCAAGTTCGGATTTCACCATAGTTAAGTTGCTATAAGTTATGATGCAAAACGGCGTATAACGTTTTCAATTTTTGTCAATAGCATATTTGTAGCTTGTCATAAGGATATCAGACATCAGCACTGTATATTTTGTGTAAGTGGTGGATTCTCTGGGTAATATTAGGTTTATTTTTGCATTATAAATCAATCATGAATAGAAAACTGACAAAATCCATCAGCAACTGATTGACGGCTAGTGAACAAAAGAAACCTTGATCCTAACCTTAGACTGGAAAAAATAATAGTTTTAAGACTTAAATAATGGGGGAAAATATTCTGTTAGAAATCACACTTTTAATTAAATTGAAAATTCCTCCTTTGACTCGTAAAAGTTCGGTGAACTTCTTTGTTCTTCGATTGTTATGACGTTGGTGTAAAGTTGTAAGATCTATAGCTCACAACTTCCGTTGTTTCCACGCAAGAGTATTTCCCTAGGAAGAAGTAAAAGATGTGGGCGAAAATAAAACAAAATATTTAAAGAAAAATAGAACGGAATTTGTTTTAGATCTCTACAAACTGTGGAAAACGATCATTCATTGAAGAGAATCAAGGCATCCGCGAAACTAATTTTGCGTACTCTGGAATTGTATACTTTCGTCGACAAAGTAATTGTCCGTCAAAGAGTAGGACGAAAGCGTAAATTTAAAGTTAGTAGACTGAGGCAATATTTGAATAACAACTTGAAACTGTGACCTTCTGTCTCCTAGAAACAGTAAGCAAATATCTGATTGTTTATTGTTTCTACTTAAAGTTAGTCATGCAATGACGTCATGGTTCAGTGTGGTTATTTTGGCACTCGCCCTAATGACGCACAAGGTAAGAGCCAGATCGTTACTTAAAGAACAATAATCTAATACATAAAGGCGAAAATATTGATGTAATTGGATTATACTGAGTTATAAAGCGGTCACAACATGGTATTATAACTCTAGCGCGTAGGCCACGGGATTTTACCGAGTTGATATTGAGATCCAAGTATTTCAGAAAGGAAAGAGTACTACTTTGCCGAAAAGTCGGAACCAAACTAATTTAGGAAGCAAATCAATGGCCCATGAAAACAGCTGATTACAGCCCGCCAGCATACTCAGCTGAATTTTTTTAAGTAACATCTGTTCATCAGTCCAAGATATTTCTGATCAAGGAAAAGATATTTCTGTTTAGAGCATTTTTCTTAATTTTTCTTCTTTTAAAGAGCCGAAGAGTTTCGTCACCATATCTATTTTTTTTTTATCTGCAACGATTTAACTTTAATTTATCTTTATCTTTAATACACTGATTAATTTATCTTTATCTTTAATACACTGATTAAAATTCAAGCAGGAGAACAAATTTAACATCAAGGTGTTTGAGCATCTTGAGTAAACATGACATTTGTTCAACATGGTCCTAGCAAACGTGTAGCCTTACCCTCTACTCGGAAGAGAAACGTTTTCCTTTTCTGCAACGGAGGAAGGGTACGGCTACACAAAAGTCAAGACGGTACACATGCGTTCTGATTGAAAAAAACACACTTAATTCCAATTCTTTATATTCTCGAATTCAAAACCACGGCTATGTACTATACTTAATGACTGCGCTCAGGGATCACTCATTATTTAACGACGGGGTGGGGAGGGGGTGGGTGGAGGATTTTAGGGGAGGGGGGGGGAGGGAGAGTAAGAAGAAACGTTTGTCAACTAACTTCCGGTTTATTTCCGATGTGCAGCAAAACCTGCCTTACTTTTAAAACAGCAACTATTATTAACCACAAAATCGCGAGGTAGGCTTACTATGATTATATTTTTTTTGAAGAGAAGCTAACCCTCAAAATGTAAGCTTCAGAAACTCTTTACGGTGCCTAATTTATAAAACAAAATCATCTTAAAATAGTACCGTCTACTGTTAGGTTTTTTTTATATCTGGAGGCGAAAAATCAAATAAAATGTTGCATCTCTAGTCTATTTTGAAGATGGATGTGTAAGATTCCAATCTTCAATGTGGAAAAAAGTTGAATCCACGGAAGAAAAAACAGCAGGAGAAGGAATTCCAGATTGCGCAGGCCTAGTAGCGAAGAGAAAACAGCCTACTTAATAGCCAGGGAACTACCGGCCCAGGTTTTAGCTCAGCCGTTGGCATTCGCAGCAAATACCGATTTCTTGCGTATACGGATTCCATACCTCGGTGTAAATATCAATCCGTGGCCAATAACTAACGGTTTCATGGAACTCGTATTCCCCAGTGAAATGAATAAATGTAAACTCCATGAACCGCTGAATGCATCGTCCCTCATTCGTGAGGCAGCTGTCACCTTCACATTTGACTTCTCTGATAAATGTGGGGAAAACTCCTTCTGGCAGGCTTGTGACAATAGTACGTTCCGCACATAAGCGAATTAATCCGCTTTGACCCACACGCGATTTGTTATTCTGATAGAATTTGCTTGGAAGCTTGTCCCGAAGTCTTCTGGCATCTGTCTCGTTGATTGCCATGTAACGCGAGTTGAAGTCGCCAACCTGTCGAAGCCTGGCTATCAGCTGGGTGTCACTGAGGCGGATGCAAAGTCGGGCAAGGGGTCGCAATTTTCCTCTACTGCGATGATCAGGGATCTCGTCGACAATGAGACTGCATTCTTTGCCAACAATTTTTGACTTCTGGGAAATTGGGCGAAGGCGATTGAACACCGTAGGAGGAGATTGCGGTACGTTCCATCGGCGCCCTAAAGATGGCGGAATCTCAACGTACAGAAATATCAAAGTGGCGAGGAACTGCATCTGTAAAATAAGAGGCACCAATTGCAATGTAAGGTGTCAACTTTGACGCTCAATAGTTGCATCCTCCAACTTTAACAGCTGTTTGTTCGGCAAACCTCTCATTAAATATCCGTGAGATTCATTTCTAATACTCGTAATCTAAATGAAGTAGCAGATACAACTGAGAAAATAAGTATGGGGTCAGCGCGTGTTTCAGTGAAAGTGCAACGTTTTTGATCAATTTGTTCGGTGTACAATTAAAATGACAGAGAAAGTCAACCAAAGTTGAATTCCATCCCAATAGGTCAATTTTAAAAAAAGACAAAATAAGGATTTCCACCAAAAAGTAAAAAAATTACTTTACCTTCAGCCCTAGGCTCATCATCTTTAACTCCGTAGGAAAGTTATAGTAGACCAATTGAAGATTCTTTGAAAACCTGAGAAATCAGCAGTTCAGGAATATTTTATCATCGTAGTAAATTTAACGAGCTTCAGTTCTTTTCCTATATATAATACTAATCCTTTCCCTTCTCAATCAACTTCTTTCCTTTCTTGGTTGATTGTTTTCTGTTTGGTCTTCGTCAACCCCGCAAACACCACAATTATATCGCTCTGACGAAGCGCTAATGCTTTTCACGGAGACCGCCAATTTACATTATAACTCAGCTGATAAAACAAAATCATCTTGATAATACCTCCCTCAGACGCAGCATTACAGTTTTCTTAGTAACTAGCCCCTTTCTAATTGTTTCAAAGAGTTGTGCGATGGAAACGGCGACACCCTATGCGGCTAAAACTGTTTCAATATATGTGTCTAAACTTAATTTTAAGTCCAATTATATAAATCAAGTCATTAATTAATATAAATTTGGGTAGTATGTAAGCAAAATCCTGTTACTTACCCCTTAGCTCGTTGAAGACTGAAGGTTACTTGCTGAAAGGTAAGGTAATCTTGTGTCCGAAATCGTGTTCTCTTTGAGGCCCTGCTTGCGGTTGTGATTTTCTTGGATAACTGGACTTCTTTTTAAAACAACTGCTAAGCGGAAAAAAACAGTCCAGAACTTTTGTAAAGTTCGAGCAATTAACGATGGTAAATCAAATCCGCTTTGCATAAGAATAAGCAGCTAATTTTTTCCGCTTCTGTCTAATTGCTAAAATCCTTGACAAACACACCGTCCTAGCGACGCAAGATTAGTTAGGTCAATTATGCTCGGAAATAAAATGGAGTATTCGAACTGAATAATAAAGCTCTTTCAAAACCTTGTTTCACGACATTTGTTGTCTGATTCACACTAATTGAAACTGGCTTGATGAAAATTCGATTTTACAAGCATGCTTCACTAACAGAAGTCCACTGACAATAAAGTGTTATGATATTCATGTTCTTTCGGCAGCGTGCGTTCCCAGAGATATAAAACACTTGGGAAGTTTGCAGATCAGAGAAGAAGCGTGAGTTGCTCTCGGCCACACTTCGAACAACTCTTTCTTGTCTTTTTGTGCGGGAAATTTGGAGAGCTAGGTGACTTGTGAACCAAAAAGTAAATTTAATAAGAGCAATGGCATGGTGGAAATTTGTATTTCGTAGTTTGAAATATTGTGTTTAATTTTTCTGTTACTCGTTCTCTCTCTTTTTTTTTGGCAATATGATGACATTTCCTTATCAGTCTCCCGAAAAAAGGGTCAAGTACAAAGTTCCGGTATTTAATTAAAAAAATTGAATTTTATTTACTTCGTCATCCCTAATTTCATAGGCCTCTATTTAGTATTTGTTATTCAATGGTTTAATCTAATTTCTTTACTATTTTCAGTCCCACCCAAACAAACTAGTTAATTTACTAATTTTGTATTTTTTTCCGCTTAAAACGATGTTCCTATTAGCAACGCCAAATTTGCTCTTTATGAATGAATGGTAACAAAACACTTTGGTTCTCTGGAAAAATCGGTGTTCATTTTTTCCTCTTTCGAACATACTACCGATGTCTGTTGCGGTATCTAAAACTCAATTTCCATTTAGTCCAGTCTCGTTGGACTTTGAAATATTTTATTTTCGACTGCTGGGCACGCTTTTAACATGTCAACGTATTAGAAGTTCCGTTTTTAAATGAAGCCTTCCGAGACAAATCACAACATTACGTTCTCTAGAAAAATCGGTTTGCGTGAACATTTCCTTTTCAGCGTGTTGTTGATCCAAGTTGTGTTTTCAGTTAATGAATATTTATTTCTGAAAATGACTTAGAAGGCCTTGGCGATTCTTAAAGTTTTTCCGCTCTCATTTGTTGTCGTAAATGTCTCTATAAAAATTTACAGTGTATCGTCAAAAGTTTATGACCGCTTGTTTTGCGTGTATGTCTAGTGTAGAAGTCAGCTTTACACGCGATGTGTTCACGCCTGGTGAACACGACAAAGTACTTAGGAAAGGTCACTGCCATCTCCTTTCACATCACCAAATATTAAACACTTCGTGGAAGAACGCGCCGTCGGAGGATGTGAAAACTCGCGTTATTTTACGTTACTGATCCCAAGTTTAATTACAACATTTTTCTCTGGGATAGTTTTTTGACTGTCTACACTCTTGACAAAGATCTGATCTTACTATCAAACCATCCATTTATCATTTTTTATTTTTATAGTTTGGAGTGGTCGAGGAGATAAATGTGTGAAATTTTTATTAAAATCGTTCGATCCTCGTTGTAGTGACAATATTAGTTGCTGATCAAAAAACTTTGACTTCTGTATTATTAGGCGGCCCACGGATGTTTATGGTCAGAGGCCCATATGTAAGCGATTATATTGGAGTCATACTCTTAGACGGTAGAAATATGGCCTAAACACTCTGGACCTCCGTATGCTTAAACTAAAGACGGCAATCGGCTTATTCAACTATCAGGAAGTTATAGCAGTTAAAAAGGTTGTTTCATAATCCGCATTTGGTGTCATGCGGTATTTGAAATTGGCCAAACATTCAAAGAGCTCTAACAAAGAATTGAAATTTGTCAAGTTGTCTGTTCAGCGATTATTCTATCACTTTATGTAGTCATCTTAAGATTCGTAGAACACACGGCGCTCAAAACCCAATATTCTTAAATTTTCCGTAATTCTAAACTTTTCAAACCAGTTTGTTTTCATTCTACCTTTGTTTAAGTTGTGATAGTGAATACAAAACAAGGAGAAATAAAAATGAAATTCTTTTTTTAAAGTTTAGACCTGGGAAGAACTTAATCACAGTAGAGGCTTTAAAAAACTCAGCTACATTACTCCTTGTTAATATCCATTTATTTACAATAAGACATCCAGCTGAAGTAGCCAGAGTTAAGATTGAAAAATTAAAGCGTATTCGGATATTACACAATAGTAATGGAACAGATCAGCGAGTCTTACAAGTCTATCATTGTATTATTTTTTCTATAGAACAATTGAATTTATTGAATTCACAAATCAGACATTTTTCAAAAAATCATGAAAAGTTCTCTAAAAGTGGAATTTTTCGATGTAGTTTTTCCTGGGTGTCAGGACGGAAGGAAAAAGACATAAGCTCCTTTAAGTTGATAAAGTTATATTTCAGCTGCTGTAAATTTTTCTCTCTGTTCTCTTTCCATTTCCTCTCATGAAAAGAATTTCACTTCACTGCAATTTTCACCGATAAGGAAACATTTAACTGCAGCGCGTGTAGTCAATTCATAAGGCTTCGCCGCTTAACTCCTGCAAATTATTCCAAGATAACTTGAAGTTTCTTTACCTTTCTAAAATTGCTTAAAATAAACGCTTTTGATTCCGTATCTCCGGTCTTAACTCCTCTTAATTCCCAAAGACTTGGATCTTTTTCAATTACTTGCGAACGTTCAAGTCACCGGGGGTCAGCCGCAGTTGTGCTGATAGATAAATCACGATTTACTTATCACGGGTCAGCTACATTTCTAACAGCTTGATAAAAGACAAAAGAGGTCAAATAAATGAAAGACTTTTAATATGGTTTAGGTAATTCTGATTTGAATTGATAAATTAATCACCACTGTAAAAAAGTAACTGAATACCATGCGGAGATCTCTATCGAAAGATATTTGCGCGAGGGTGATACAATTTTAGTTGTAATCGGATTGTTGGGTCGCAATGGAGGGGAAACTAGCTTCAGACTGCATCACGCTTTTACGAAAGCACGAAGGACTCTCGATCTGTCTTTTTCAGTCTTCTATAATCTCTCAGTTCAAACTTATATTTCCTAAAAGATTGAAAGCTCAAAACAGAAAGTTTTTGACACTTATTCGCCGGGAATACCAATCTTAAGAATCAAATAGCGACAGGTAAACAATCGAGCTCATCGCCTGATGAAGAAGAGCAGTATTGCAGTCGAAACTGGTCGCGATCTACGTCAAAAGTGACTCTATCGTGAGACAAACGAACAAAGTTCATCTTCCACAAGAATCAAGTTTGTAACTCGAGCTTTTCTTTATACATTGAGAAAGCGCAAACTTTGATCTCCATGCTTCATTATTAGCAGACAAAGACTGGATCATCTGTTTTCTTTCTAGATCCATCTAAGGGATCTTTACGCATAAGGAATTTAGGTAAGCAAGCAATTCTTATGGCAGACGAAGCTTTCAAAATGGCTTAACTAATTCTGATGTGACAAAAGCTCCCACAAAATTCATTTAACATTATGAAATATGGCTGAGGAGGAGGTATTGTGGATTAATCACGACTTGCAAAAAGTAAACAAAACTGGTCAGTTGTCCCGAGAAGATCTTTGCCGTTAAAAGATATTTGCAAAGATTCCTCCAAGCGTGGGTCATGATAGTGAACTTCACAGAGTTGATCAAATGAAGCTTAATACGTATAGTTGTTGATAGTCATTTACTGGGAAGCACAATCGTGCGGATCACGTTTGTTTGGGGAATTCGTACACAAAAAATAAATTGCCTAGAGCCAACCGAAAATAACACCAGAGGCACGTACACATTTCAATTTTTTCCGCCGACTGTGGCACCCGGCTTCAGTGAGTGACCGTCCCGTCAGTATAAACTTCCTTTATAGGCTAGACAGGAACTAACGGAAAGTTTCAGCTTGTTTCAGCTTCAACAATCTTCGCAGCAAATTCCGCTGTCTCTTGCACATGATCTCGGCTTTTCTCAGCACATGGAGAAAGCAACCACTTTTATTTCCTTGCTTCTTTGTAAAAGCAGAAAGGCTGAATTCCTGAAAGCTTGTATTTTTAATCTAAAATGACCTTTTAGACATTCTATAACACTTAGGTGTGATTGCGGTTGGCAGTTTTTCCGTGTTTGCATTCTAAAACCCCGGAAAAAGGCGTAAAAGCCCCATTCAGGGAGGTTTTCCTCGTAAAGAATTTGGCTAAACAAGCCATTTTTTTGACTGACAAGAATGGCTGGAGCAGTTATCTGAAGAAGCATCTATCACACGGTTTTACTGGTTAACTGATAGAGCGCCCTCTTTATATTACAACTGATGACAGATAACATACAGTATACATCGTCGAGATCAAGTTTAACGGAAAGTTTCACTACAACCCACTAGAGAACTTGACTAACTTCCGTAAGAGGTCGTATTCATTGGTTGCGGCATAGTTACTGACCTGAATATAGTTTTTCCTTTCTTGTGAAGTTATAAGTCTTATCTGTTGCGAAAGATTTCCTTATCGGAAATCCGAAGGAAGTTAGAGTACCCTATAACGTAAATACTGTATCCTATGGTACCATAGTTCTGTCATGGCTAGTTTCCTGTCTTTCCCGCATCACGGAATCGGTAAAGCTTAGCATCAAACGATATCGCCTCATATTGTTTATGATTTTACCATTAACTTCTCCAAATCGTATTTTCTAATAAAAACTGCATCGTTATACTGAGAATCACGACACAACCATAAAACACTTCTCCTCTTTTCACTGCTTAATTAAGAGGCACGTTAGAGTAATTTTCGTTGCCAAATTCATTTCATTTAGACAAAATAAATGTTGAGCTCTTATGACATAATTATAAAGCTTAGAAGCTAAAAAAAGCTATAAAGCTACAAAACGGATTCCCACAGTTAACAACAGGTATGCATGTTGTTTGACGCGGGTTCTAAAAAAGCCTCACAACGAAAAACTTAAATTTTTCTAAACGAGAATCAAAAGCGCTGGTGATACACGAGGCCATTTCATTCTCTGGTCGCGGCAGTCGGCGAAAATCTCCTGTAACCAGTTGTTTAAAGAATGGATACCGCTCTCCAAAGGATAAATCGCTATCCAGCGGATAGGTGTCAGCAAAACCTTTTGCGTTATCCACCGGATAGATATTCATCCAGTGGATAGCGTTATCCACCCTCTAAACAACCGATGATCAGAACAGCGATAGTGATTTTCGCCACTTCCGCCCGCCGCGGTCGGCGTTTTAATTCTCATTGTATGACTCGTCAGATATCGATATTAAATTCGCCGGCTATTACGTAATGTGACTGACCTAGCAATTTTCTTCGCTCATCGCTGTGAATCACCCGTAAAGGTTGAGCACGTTTATCGCATAAGAGAGAGTTTAAGATCCACGTTTGTTTCTTATAGCGTGTAACCGCAAACCGCTAGAAGTCACGTGACCAGACTGTAGCCGTCAAGTTTGCCGTTCGCGGTCCAGTCAGTTTCAGGTAGACCAACTCCCTTGGCGCTTTTCTTGTTCCGGTTCGAAAGTTCTCGCGTATGTCCTATAAATATATGTGATTTGAGGTATTTTCTTTTTAGCCCATTTGTTTGGGACTAAAGCAAACTTTAGGCCGCATTCTGTGTTCGAAATGAAGGACTTCCATCCTGTCTGTAATTGAAGATAACGGCGAACAGTTTAATTTTACTTTTGTTTGAAATGGTACTTCCGATTTTGGGATCGGTGAGCATTTTTTTTTTCGGGTTTTGTTTATTTGAAATCGGATGAAACCTTAGCATGAAAAACATATCGCTGTTTTTCTTGGTTTTTCTTAGGTATGTCTCCATTTCGTATCACAAAATGGCGCAAATGTTCTCTCCATAATGAACAACACTATTTTACTCATTCAACTGCTCTCTTTGTGAGTCTTTATTTATGTCCTGGGTTGGAATCCGAGGGAAGATCGAGGGATTTTAGGGGGATCACATGGTTATCACGGGGATCAGTGCGGTCTTCGCTAACAGAACATAAAGAGGGGACAATGGGAAATTACGGCCATCAATGAGAGATCCTTAAAATATAACACGGCTTCAGTGGGGATCAAGTAAACTTTGTCACGACACAATCAAAATCTTCCGACCTCCTAGCTCCTTTCCTCCCCCCCCCCCCGTCAAAAGAAATTAATTTCCTGTCCCCCAGTAAAAAGTAAACAAACTCAATGACTGCTAGATTGCAATGTAAGATTTCAAATTCGTTTAAAGGGCAAAACAAAATAAAACGATCTCAGTTTAAGACATAATTATAATTATGGGCATCCCAGAAGACATGTCAGGAGCCCAATGGGCTCCTGGACATGTAGAATAAGTAGGTTACTTAAACTAAGAATCTCAGAATCTCAGAAAGAGGCTATGGAGGATAAACCATAAGGCTGAATATTTAAATACTGATATCCAAATGTAAATCTCTTTGAAGCATCTATTTGCTTTCAAAACAATGATAACAATTATAACTTCATAATCAGAAATTAAACAATAAAATGCATGAAAAATAGTCGTGTTTGAACGCTATTTTCTACTAATGAAATATAAATTATATTTGAATGCGAATAACTCGATAATTATTTGCGTCCGAATATTGAAAATATCCGGCATTCACAGCAGGATCTGATATCTTGTTCATAATCTTCCCACTCCTCCATGTAAACATTAACTCCTAATAATTGGCTCAGAGCATCATCTCTCTCGAAGTCTCCAGTAAAGCGAAGAAATGTGAACTGTATGTAACGCTGCACACATCTTCCAATGGCTCGAAAACACAAATGGTCGGAATCGTCACAAATGACTTCGTTGATAAAGGGCGGGAACACTTTTGATGGAAGTCTTGTGGTTGCGGCACACTCTGTACAGAGGCGTCTTAAGTTAGTGTTATCCACGGTTGAGCCTCGACCCCAGCAGCCACGCAGGGCGGAGCCTGGGCTCAAGGATGTCATCCGTTTCTGTCTCAACTGGCCTCCTTCCTGATCACCTACTTCTGGCTCATCCAAAATGCGGCTCAAATCATTGTCAGAGGGGTCTTGCTGAATTTGGCGTGGCCGATGATCAGGTTGGGCCTCAGATGGCGTAGCGGGTTGTACAGGAAGCTCGTCTGCAACAGCTAGATCCTGAAATCTGCAAGAATCTGTCTTGTCAATGGCCATGTATCGTGGGTTGAAACCTCCACCAGTGATACGAAGCTTGCTCATTAACTGGGTTTCATTGAGGCGAACGCATAGCTGATGACTCCGGAGTAACCTTCCACGATATTTAGGAACTGAATCGACGATGCGAGTGCAATCTTTTTCTTGAATTTTAGGCCTTGATGTTATTAAAGGTTTACGTGATGTTCTTGTTCGGCGTTGACGCAAAATTCGAGTCCTCCCACTAGAAGTCGGAAGCGTAGCCCAGACGACAATCATAAGCAAGACTAGTGACATTATCTGTTTAGAAATGCGATAAAATGGAAGAATATTCCATAAGAAAAAATGAATTAACCATCAAAATTGACAAAAATCTGAAATTAGTGACGGATCCTCGTAGATGAACTGCAATCAGATTGAAGAAATTAAAGGAAAAGAAATCTTGAAAAATTGTGGCTGAAACAGAGTTCGAATCCGTTGTCTCCCAAACAGTAGTTGGGCCTTTCTGCCAACTCAGCTAAGAAGCCACTGTTATCTAACTTGTGGAGTGTTACTAAATTATAGTTTGTAAAGGATAACAGCAAATAGGTGCGGCCAAAATCTTACCCTATTTGTCTAATATACAGCGAAGCAACTTAGGCTCCATATAAGTAAAATTTTCACCTTCGGTTTCACAGGTATCTCCATGCTTCTCTAGACTGGCTGGTCAACTTCTCCAACACTTGTCTAACCTTAAAGAAAATCAATAATACTGAGTTTAATCTGTCATCTTTACACCTTACCTCTCGTAAGTGGGTTAGATTTAATTGCAAATAAAGAGAAAGACTGATTAAAAAAGCCAGCTATTTGGCAGCCATTATTAGGGGGAAAATGCTATGTCGACTACAATTCTTGGATAACAATTGCTGCCTTGACAGGGTACGTGTTTATCCAAGGCTGTTTAGCTGACAAGTGAACTTCGATTAATATTTTAACTGAATTTAAACCGTCGGTCTGTGTTTATTTTCTTAACATCAGTTTTCCGCGAGTGAAATCAGTTCGTGGTATACTAATCTTGCCTGTCATGCTTGTTGACGTTGGTGTTGGCTGATGTATAAATTGGCTTGCGTGGAAATGTTCACAAGTGTTCATTGTTTGATCGGACGGCGCAACTGTTTGTAAACTCTTTAAGAAAGTTAGAAACAGTTGGACTCGTGTGACAGATTTTAAGTGGAACCTTCTGTTCTCTCATCTTGAAAAACAAATCACCTATGCAATCAGGAAAGCAACGCCGCGGAGGAAGTCGATTAACAAATGAATTTTTAATTTTAGTTAGAATTTTGAGAACAGCTGGATGTGTCACCGTCTCTTACGGCGCCATATATATCTACTCTGCCATAACGTCAAGTTCCAAGTAACAACTTAAGAGTGATTGTCAGTAAAAATCAAAGAAATCGTGGCCACGGTCAAAAAATCGATTTCGCTCATACTTTGTCAGTTTGAAGGCCTAGGTAAGTAACTGAAGGATATGAGGTTAGTTTTTTGAAATATTCCATATAACGGCAGAAAACCACGAAAAACGGTCACCCTACCGGAAGCTCGGATTTCGCCTGGCGGAAACTCGAAATTTTACACTTTTCAGCTTCTCGCTACACAGACGTTTACATAGCTGTGAATCTTTCTTAAGTATAATTGAATACATTGATTCTTCCTTAGTCAAACCATGGGAATTATTTTTATCTCTGCTTATTTGTGAGCGAACTGAGACCCGATTAAGAAGACACACTTTTCTCATTTACGCGAAGGTGTAAAATAATCCAAACTCAGTGACGAAAAAAGCTGACCGGTAGTTCTTCAAATCCTCTGATATTATAACCAAAGACAGTTCAGTCATTGATTTTTATGTCTACGGTTTTAAATCTTTAGGATCTAGTAGCACTTTTGCATGAACGCCGATCAAAATTCGATAAAATTCCAATTGAGCGCCTTTGAAATCTACAACTCTACATAACAATGCACTATTGAATAAATTAGCTCCTCGGCCAAAGTTTGTACATAAAAAATAAGGGTTTTACTTTCTTAGCGGTTTGAACCTTTTAAAAATATATATTGATGTTAAATATTGTCTACACAGGTAAAACAAACTATGGAACACCAAAATTACCACGAGCTGAAATTAAATCTCACAGGCTCGCTCCCTAATCTGTGTCACACACGAGCGACTTAGCTACAATTAGTACAGTAACAAACAGATATTTACATCTGTTAATTTACAATAAGTCTTATTTTAAAATATCTTACTCAACGATGTGCCAGGTTCCCCAGTTAACTTACTGAAGTAAAAATAAAAGAAAATATCATAATAGCAATTAAAACTGAAACGATAAGAATTGATTTTATTAAGAATGAGAAGCTTTATGCCGTCGATAGCCAATCAGAAGTACCTGTTCTCACGAAAATTGCATCGTTCTTTAAATAAATAAATCGAATTATCTTTATCTGTGAAACATTGCATCTAAAACCAGAGTTTATTGTCGGGGAACTTCATAGAACAGCGATGTCTTGCTCGTTCTTGAATATTGTTGGTGGGATTTGCGGCGCAGACGGACGCACAAGTTCTTCAACTTCCGTCACGCCTCTCACGCGGTGTAACAGGGATATCAAAAATCGCAAAAAAATCGTTGAAATTTTCCGGAATTGAAACGGAGGTAGAATTAATTTTGGCGAGATGTGGATGTTTTCAAAAGCCGGCGAATTTATCGGATATGACTATCTGTCCGGTTCATCGTGCCAAGTTAGGTTTAGGTTGGCGAAGGACGGGTAATCTTTGCACCATCCCGGAAGTTGTTTCTGGTCACTGCAAGGAGCTGAGGAAGGCACCCGCACTGGAAAAAGGAATAAATTTATTCCAATCCATGAAGATATTTGAGCTTTCAAAACAGCTCGTCCCTGTGGGCTCAGGTAAGCAACCAACTACTTGATGTTCTACCAAACAGAAACTGTCTCCAATGAATTATTTTTAGTCTATTCATTCTGATGACTTGAGATTATATGAAAGAATCATTTGTTTAAACGACGGAGAGAAATAAGTAAGGTTGATGAAGGACATTTCGTTACTTATCTCTTCATTCAGTTGTCCAATCCAATTTTTTTATAACAACCTTTAATTAATGCCTCTCATTTTTTTATGGATTGCGATTATATTAGTGTGTGCACTGTATAGTGCGCTGCACTGTATAGTCCGAGTGCTTCATGGGACAAACATCCTGCATACTGCTAGGATTGGAATGTCATGTGTGGCATACGCGCAATGGAATAAATGTGATGGAATATTTTTAAGCCTGGTGAATAAATGAGAATGATGTATTATTCAGTAAGTGACACAGGCGTACTCGGAAAAAAAGAAATCCGAGTGCTCTCGGCCATCAGGAGTCGAAACTATCGACATCGTGTCAGGTTATGCCTAAGTGACACGATGAGACGGTACGGGTAGTCATCTCCTATAAACTCGTTGGCTTTTAAAAACACGCAATCTTGCTAAAATCAATTCTGGTTCAAGTCCGGAGAGTTTTTTAGGACTTCGTGCGATGTTTTATATCCTTGTTACCCAGCGTGAGCAGTGTGACGAAAGCTGAGTAAGGGTAGAAATTAGCCATTGGAAGTTACTTAGCAAGTGCGTTCGTCTGCGCCGCAAATCCCACCGACAATATTCAAGAACGAGCAAGACGTCGTTGTTATGTATGTCTATTAACTTCGCCAACAACATACTCTGGTTATATGGTTAAGTAGATTTGTTTATTTAGAGAACGATGCAATATTTGCTTTTCGTGGAAACAGTTACTTCCGATTGGTTTTCGACGGCACAAAACTTCTCATACTAAATAAAATCAATTCTAATTGAGCTAGAATTACTATTAAGGTTTTCTTTTTTTTTCCAGCAAGTTAACTGGGAAACCTGGCACATCTTTGAGTAAGATATTTTAAAAATACGACTTATTTAAAATCAACGGATGTAAATATCTGTTTGTTACTGTACTAATTGTAGCTAAGTCGCTCGTGCGTGACGCAGATTAGGGAGCTAGCCTGTGAGATTTAATTTCAGCTCGTGGTAATTTTGGTGTTTCATAGTTTGTTTTACCTGTGTAGACAATATTTAACATCAATATATATTTTTAAAACGCTTCAAACCGCTAAAAAAGCAAAACCCTTATGTTTTATGTACAAACTTTGGCCGAGGAGTTAATTTATTCAATAGTGCTTTGTTATGATTTCAAAGGCGCTCAATTGGAATTTTATCGAATTTTGATCGGCGTTCATGCAAAAGTGCTACTAGATCCTAAAGATTTAAAACCGTAGACATAAAAATCAATGACTGAACTGTCTTTGGTTATAATATCAGAGGATTTGAAGAACTACCGGTTAGCTTTTTTCGTCACTGAGTTTGGATTATTTTACACCTTCGCGTAAATGAGAAAAGTGTGTCTTCTTAATCGGGTCTCAGTTCGCTCACAAATAAGCAGAGATAAAAATAATTCCCATGGTTTGACTAAGGAAGAATCAATGTATTCAATTATACTTAAGAAAGATTCACAGCTAAGTAAACGTCTGTGTAGCGAGAAGCTGAAAAGTGTAAAATTTCGAGTTTCCGCCAGGCGAAATCCGAGCTTCCGGTAGGGTGACCGTTTTTCGTGGTTTTCTGCCGTTATATGGAATATTTCAAAAAACTAACCTCATATCCTTCAGTTACTTACCTAGGCCTTCAAACTGACAAAGTATGAGCGCAATCGATTTTTTGACCGTGGCCACGTTTTTTGAATTTTCCTTGATTTTTACTGACATTTACTCTTAAATTATTTACCGCCGTGGTTTTCGTTCTGGGACCACGCAGATTTTGGTGACTTCACGTCAAGTTGTTTTGCAGAGGACGGCTATAAATGTACAGCATTGTGTTAAACCGCTCGTGATGCGCTATTCTTCTGCCAATTAGATATTTTGTTTTGTTGTGTCCTCGTTTACCGTCGCTGTCTTCTTTTTTTCCCTTTTGACTCGTGACTTCTGACAAAACATATATATGTCACACTTCCGTTTAGCCTGTTTGTTAAGCCATCAAACGAAGTTATTATTATTTCTTTTTTACTTTTAAGTTGATATTTTCAGGTTTCCGATACAGAGTCATAACCGCTGTTCAATATTTGACTCAATTAAAAAGGAAAGGAACAAAGTCGAAATTTGAAGATATAGACATTTGCAGTTATTTCTCAATCGGCATTAAACTTTCCTTGAGAAAGTAACAAAGTATAGTGGTAAGCTTTTCATGGAGCGGAATTTCAACGGCAGAACGCGGAGGAATCCAGAATTTCTTTAAAAAGAGAAGCTTTATATAAACCGTATACAAGTCTTTACAAAAGCGCTCAGACATATCTTAATACTCCGACGTAACACAAAAACTCTCTCGATTAAGAATATCAAAGATACAAAAGACATGTTCTACTCTCGTCCTAAGAAGAAAAATCATGATTGACAGTACCAATTATAAACAAATTAATAGCGAATTTATGTTTTTTAAGCAAAACTCAATCAAAGAATCATACATTTTGGATTTAAGTTATGTAAGAGAGTTTTCTTGCTACACCCAAACTTTGCAATCGTCAAAAAATAATTTACTGGGCTTGAAACTTTGTCGCTGCTTGTGTAAGGCCAGCGTAATATATATGCATCAACGACCAAAACTTATAAAATCAGATGGATATAAAGAACAAGTAAATTTATAACCAAGCATAACTTCCGTGGCATACCTTTTTAAAAGTAACTAAGGCCTCAGTCTGTTCAGATCGCTTTTCTATTGTTCAGCTCTGCAGTCGTTCTAATCTTTTGTGAGTATAACGAACTCTTTTTAACCAGTCAAGGCGGAAAAAGCAGAAAGCAATATCTTTGTCTCGAAATATTTTATTCTTCTTTTGTGGCTTTATAAATAAATAATAATAGCCTTTAGCTTAATACTTGTTTTGCATAATGATGAAGCTTTATTACTAGCTACCTGTGTACTTCCTGTTACTGCTTTCACCAGCCAAAAGGGCCGACAGAACTTTAGACGTTTACCAAAAAAGGAGAAATAAAAATATAGCTGAGCAGGTTTGCTATTATAATTCGTTTTTTCTTTGTTAATTCTCGCAAGTTCGGATTTCACCATAGTTAAGTTGCTACAAGTTATGATGCAAAACGGCGTATAACGTTTTCAATTGATCTTTTTGTCAATAGCATATTTGTAGCTTGTCATAAGGATATCAGACATCAGCACTGTATATTTTGTGTAAGTGGTGGATTCTCTGGGTAATATTAGGTTTATTTTTGCATTTTAAATCAATCATTAATAAAAAACTGACAAAATCCATCAGCAACTGATTGACGGCTAGTGAACAAAAGAAACCTTGATCCTAACCTTAGACTGGAAAAAATATTAGTTTTAAGAGTTAAATAATGGGGGAAAATATTCTCTTAGAAATCACACTTTTACTTAAATTGAAAATTCCTCCTTTGACTCGTAAAAGTTCGGTGAACTTCTTTGTTCTTCGATTGTTATGACGTTGGTGTAAAGTTGTAAGATCTATAGCTCACAACTTCCGTTGTTTCCACGCAAGAGTATTTCCATAGGAAGAAGTAAAAGATGTGGGCGAAAATAAAGCAAAATATTTAAAGAAAAATAGAACGGAATTTGTTTTAGATCTCTAAAAACTGTGGAAAACGATCATTCATTGAAGAGAATCAAGGCATCCGCGAAACTAATTTTGCGTACTCTGGAATTGTATACTTTCGTCGACAAAGTAATTGTCCGTCAAAGAGTAGGACGAAAGCGTAAATTTAAAGTTAGTAGACTGAGACAATATTTGAATAACAACTTGAAACTGTGACCTTCTGTCTCCTAGAAACAGTAAGCAAATATCTGATTGTTTATTGTTTCTACTTAAAGTTAGTCATGCAATGACGTCATGGTTCAGTGTGGTTATTTTGGCACTCGCCCTAATGACGCACAAGGTAAGAGCCAGATCGTCACTTAAAGAACAATAATCTAATACATAAAGGCGAAAATATTGATGTAATTGGATTATACTGAGTTATAAAGCGGTCACAACATGGTATTATAACTCTAGCGCGTAGGCCACGGGATTTTACCGAGTTGATATTGAGATCCAAGTATTTCAGAAAGGAAAGAGAACTACTTTACCGAAAAGTCGGAACCAAACTAATTTAGGAAGCAAATCAATGGCCCATGAAAACAGCTGATTACAGCCCGCCAGTATACTGAGCTGAATTTTTTTTAAGTAACATCTGTTCATCAGTCCAAGATATTTCTGATCAAGGAAAAGATATTTCTGTTTAGAGCATTTTTCTTAATTTTTCTTCTTGTAAAGAGCCGAAGAGTTTCGTCACCATATCTATTTTTTTTTATCTGCAACAATTTATCTTTAATACACTGATTAAAATTAAGTAGGAGAACAAATTTAACATCAAGGTGTTTGAGCATCTTGAGTAAACATGACATTTGTTCAACATGGTCCTAGCCTACGTGTAGCCTTACCCTCTACTCGGAAGAGAAACGTTTTCCTTTTCTGCAAGGGAGGAAGGGTACGGCTACACAAAAGTCAACACGGTACACATGCTTTCTGATTGAAAAAAACACACTTAATTCCAATTCTATATATTCTCGAATTCAAAACCACGCCTATCTACTATACTTAATAACTGCGCTCAGGGATCACTCATTATTTAACGACGGGGTAGGGAGGGGGTGGGTGGAGGATTTTAGGGGGAGGGGGAGGGAGAGTAAGAAGAAACGTTTGTCAACTAACTTCCAGTTTATTTTCGATGTGCAGCAAAACCTGCCTTACTTTTAAAACAGCAACTATTATTAACCACAAAATTGCGAGGTAGGCCTATTATGATTATATTTGTTTTTAAGAGGAGCTAACGCTCAAAATGTAAGCTTCAGAAACTCTTTACGGTGCCTAATTTATAAAACAAAATCATCTTAAAGTAGTACCGTCTACTGTTAGGTTTTTTTTATATCTGGAGGCAAAAATCAAATAAAATGTTGCATCTCTAGTCTATTTTGAAAATGGATGTGTAAGACTCCAATCTTCAATGTGGAAAAAAGTCGAGTCGACGGAAGAAAAAACAGCAGGAGAAGGAATTCCAGGTTGCGCAGGCCTAGTAGCGAAGAGAAAACAGCCTACTTAATAGCCAGGGAACTACCGGCCCAGGTTTTAGCTCAGCCTTTGGCATTCGCAGCAAATACCGATTTCTTGCGTATATGGATCCCATACCTCGGTGTAAATATCAATCCGTGGCCAATAACTAACGGTTTCATGGAACTCATATTCCCCAGTGAAATGAATAAATGTAAACTCCATGAACCGCTGAATGCATCGTCCCTCATTCGTGAGGCAGCTGTCACCTTCACATTTGACTTCTCTGATAAATGTGGGGAAAACTCCTTCTGGCAGGCTTGTGACAATAGTACGTTCCGCACATAAGCGAATTAATCCGCTTTGACCCACACGCGATTTGTTATTCTGATAGAATTTGCTTGGAAGCTTGTCCCGAAGTCTTCTGGCATCTGTCTCGTTGATTGCCATGTAACGCGAGTTGAAGTCGCCAACCTGTCGAAGCCTGGCTATCAGCTGGGTGTCATTGAGGCGGATGCAAAGTCGGGCAAGGGGTCGCAATTTTCCTCTACTGCGATGATCAGGGATCTCGTCGACAATGAGACTGCATTCTTTGCCAACAATTTTTGACTTCTGAGAAATTGGGCGAAGGCGATTGTACACCGTAGGAGGAGATTGCGGTACGTTCCATCGGCGCCCTAAAGATGGCGGAATCTCAACGTACAGAAATATCAAAGTGGCGAGGAACTGCATCTGTAAAATAAGAGGCACCAATTGCAATGTAAGGTGTCAACTTTGACGCTCAATAGTTGCATCCTCCAACTTTAACAGCTGTTTGTTCAGCAAACCTCTCATTAAATATCCGTGAGATTCATTTCTAATACTCGTAATCTAAATGAAGTAGCAGATACAACTGAGAAAATAAGTATGGGGTCAGCGCGTGTTTCAGTGAAAGTGCAACGTTTTTGATCAATTTGTTCGGTGTACAATTAAAATGACAGAGAAAGTCAACCAAAGTTGAATTCCATCCCAATAGGTCAATTTTAAAAAAAGACAAAATAAGGATTTCCACCAAAAAGTAAAAAAATTACTTTACCTTCAGCCCTAGGCTCATCATCTTTAACTCCGTAGGAAAGTTATAGTAGATCAATTGAAGATTCTTTGAAAACCTGAAAAATCAGCAGTTCAGGAATATTTTATCATCGTAGTAAATTTAACGAGCTTCAGTTCTTTTCCTATATATAATACTAATCCTTTCACTTCTCAATCAACTTCTTTCCTTTCTTGGTTGATTGTTTTCTGTTTGGTCTTCGTCAACCCCACAAACACCACAATTATATCGCTCTGACGAAGCGCTAATGCTTTTCACGGAGACCGCCAATTTACATTATAACTCAGCTGATAAAACAAAATCACCTTGATAATACCTCCCTCAGACGCAGCACTGCAGTTTTCTTAGTAACTAGCCCCTTTCTAATTGTTTCAAAGAGTTGTGCGATGGAAACGGCGACACCCTATGCGGCTAAAACTGTTTCAATATATGTGTCTAAACTTAATTTTAAGTCCAATTATATAAATCAAGTCATTAATTAATATAAATTTGGGTGGTATGTAAGCAAAATCATGTTACTTTCTTCAAAAATGTTCTTACCCTTAGTTCGTTGAAGACCGAAGGTTACTTGCTGAAAGGTAAAGTAATCTTGTGTCCGAAATCGTGTTCTCTTTGAGGCCCTGCTTGCGGTTGTGATTTTCTTGGATAACTGGACTTCTTTTTAAAACAACTGCTAAGCGGAAAAAACAGTCCAGAACTTTTGTAAAGTTCGAGCAATTAACGATGATAAATCAAATCCGCTTTGCATAAGAATAAGCAGCTAATTTTTCCGCTTCTGTCTAATTGCTAAAATCCTTGACAAACACACCGTCCTAGCGACGCAGGATTAGTTAGGTCAATTATGCTCGGAAATAAAATGGAGTATTGGAACTGAATAATAAAGCTCTTTCAAAACCTTGTTTCACGACATTTGTTGTCTGATTCACACTAATTGAAACTGGCTTGATGAAAACTCGATTTTACAAGCATGCTTCACTAACAGAAGTCCACTGACAATAAAGTGTTATGATATTCATGTTCTTTCGGCAGCGTGCGTTCCCAGAGATATAAAACGCTTGGGAAGTTTGCAGATCACAGAAAAAACGTGAGTTGCTCTCGGCCACACTTCGAACAACTCTTTCCTGTCTTTTTGTGCGGGAAATCTGGAGAGCTAGGTGACTTGTGAACCAAAAAGTAAATTTAATAAGAGCAATGACATGGTGGAAATTTTCATTTCGTAGCTTGAAATATTGTGTCTAATTTTCCTTAAAAACCCTGATAACTTTTAATTTTTCTGTTACTCGCTCTCTCTTTTTTTTTTGCAATATGATGACATTTCCTTATCAGTCTCCCGAAAAAAGGTCAAGTACAAAGTTCCGGTATTTAATTAAATAAATTGAATTTTATTTACTTCGTCATCCCTAATTTCGTAGGCCTCTATTTAGTGTTTGTTATTCAATGGTTTAATCTAATTTCTTTATTATTTTCAGTCCCACCCAAACAAACTAGTTAATTTACCAATTTGTATTTTTTCCGCTTAAGACGATGTTCCTATGAGCAACGCCAAAATTTGCTTTTTATGAATGAATGATAACAAAACACTTTGGTTCTCTGGAAAAATCGGTGTTCATTTTTTCCTCTTTCGAACATAATGCCGATGTCTGTTGCGGTATCTAAAACTCAATTTCCATTTAGTCCAGTCTCGTTGGATTTGGAAATATTTTATTTTCGACTGCTGGGCACGCTTTTAACATGTCAACGTATTAGAAGTTCCGTTTTTAAATGAAGCCTTCCGAGACAAATCACAACATTCCGCTCTCTAGAAAAATCGGTGTGCGTGAACATTTCCTTTTCAGCGTGTTGTTGATCCTAGTTGTGTTTTCAGTTTATGAATATTTATTTCTGAAAATGACTTGGAAGGCCTTGGCGATTCTTAAAGTTTTTCCGTTCTCATCTCTTGTTGTCGTAAATGTCTCCATAAAAATTCACAGTGTATCGTCAAAAGTTTATGATCGCTTGTTTTGCGTGTATGTCTAGTGTAGAAGTCAGCTTTACACGTGATGTGCCCACGCCTGTGCTTTACACGCGATGTGTTCACGCCTGGTGAACACGACAAAGTACTTAGAAAAGGTCAGTGCCATCTCCTTTTACATTATCAAATATTAAACACTTCGTGGAAGAACGCGCCGTCCGAGGATGTGAAAACTCGCGTTATTTTACGTCACTGGCCGCTATAGTTTTCTGAATTTTTTTGTAAGACATGCAATCATCGCGAGGTTTTTTTCTACTAATAATGATGTAGCCATTTTGGTGGGAATTCGGAAATTACATTTCGACATAACATTTGCACTAACCGATTGCTAGTGGATCGTAAACAAATTCTCAGTTTTCTCCACGATATCCATTTGACCTACAGCGAATATCAGTAATCCGTAAGGGCCTTACCTTTTTGGACACAAAGATTTGCTTCTCCTCAGCTCCTAATCTCTGTCGACACGATATCAAGTGATAACTTCCGATATCCGCATTGGTCACCAAGAAACCGCGTTCACCATTCACCAATTGCAATATACATTCGTATTTCCCTCCCGTAATATAAGGATCAGTGTTTCGTGCTGTCTACCGGAATAAGTCTTTTAATTTCAGCACTTAAAATTCAACGGTATCTCCTTGTTGATATTTTTTCATCTTTCCATCCCCGTTTGTATATGAAGATGTATTGGAACTGCGGGAGAAATTCGTTTTGGCTACTCGTGGGTTATGATTATTCAGCAAACTGATCCCATTTATCAAAAAGTTGCTTGTTTGGCGAAATCTTACGTAATCATTTTATTATTGTAGTCTGCGGGAAAAGCCTTTAGCGTGTCCAAATGCAGTCAGCATAATCGGGAAAAGCTGACCGGCCTGTTCGTTTAGATTCCATTGAAAGATATTTAAACACCATTTAACCAAAATATCAAGTTTACTTAGAAATCGATATTACCAATATTCATTATATAGGATACACTAGCCCAAAAATAGCAATAGCTAGTGTAAGCGAGTAGTGTATTTCAGAATGACCTGTCATGTCCGCTCAATAAGTCACATCTTGGAACCTTGAATCATGTCACACACGTTTTAAAATTGAACATGCAATGCAAGGTTAACTCTGAAAAACATTGGCAATACTTTTAAAGGTAAAGTTTTGATAAATGACTTTCAAGATGTATAAAGTAAGTAATGTTATTTCGATAAAACGGATTCTTTTCTCATGGGTAAACTAATTTGTTTATGTGCATACCATGTCGAAAATAACGTTGGTTCATTTTCTTTACAATTTTGCCCTCGAGTACTCAAATAATGTTTTTCAGTTCGTGACAGGACAAGATGAAGTAACTGTACAATTGTACTTAAACTCTTAATATTGAATTGATAGGTAAGCATTTGCGGATGCTTTGTTCCCTTTCCATTTCCTCTCATGAAAAGAATTTCACTTCAGTGCAATTAAGAAAACATTTAACTGCAGTGCGTGTAGTCAATTCATAAGGCTTCGCCGCTTAACTCCTGCAAATTATTCCAGGATCACTCGAAGTTTCTTTACCTTTCTAAAATTGCTTAAAATAAACGCTTTTGATTCCGTATCTCCGGTTTTAACTCCTCTTAATTCCCAAAGACTTGGATCTTTTTCAATTACTTGCGAACGTTCAAGTCACCGGGGGTCAGCCGCAGTTGTATTGATAGATAAATCACGATTTACTTATCACGGGTCAGCTACACTTCTAACGGCTTGATAAAAGACAAAAGAGGTCAAATAAATGAAAGACTTTTAATATGGTTTAGGTAATTCTGATTTGAATAAAATTGATCACCACTTGAAAAAAGTAACTGAATACCACGCGCAGATCTCTATCGAAAGATATTTGCGCGAGGGTCATACAATTTTAGTTGTAATCGAATTGTTTGGTCGTAATGGAGGGGAAACTAGCTTCAGACCGCATCACACTTTTACGAAAGCACGAAGGACTCTCGATCTGTCTTTTTCAGTCTTCTATAACCTCTCAATTCAAACTTATATTTCCTAACAGATTGAAAGCTTAAAACAGAAAGTTTTGACACTTATTCGCCGGGAATACCAATCTTAAGAATCAAATAGCGACAGGTAAACAATCGAGCTCATCGCCTGATGAAGAATAGCAGTATTGCATACGAAACTGGTCGCGATCTACATCAAAAGTGACTCTATCGTGAGACAAACGAACAAAGTTCATCTTCCATAAGAATCAAGTTTGTAACTCGAGCTTTTATTTATACATTGAGAAAGCAC